CCTCTTATTCAATGAATTTGAATAAGGGAGTAAAAGTGAGTCCAAAAATTATTTTGTGTGTCAAACGATGTACACGAAAAATATTTGAATAAAATATTTTTGCTTACCAAAAATATTTTATAATATCAAAATAAACATTTGATAAATGTTTGACACACTTTTTGTAACTGACTCAATAAAACTATTTTGAACAGTTAAAAAGATTTTTCAACTGACTCAAAAAATAAATATAATTTTTATTTTAACTCTCATAAAAACATTTTTGGAGAGAAGATATTTTTGTCATCCTTACAAAAATTCCTACGACTCAAATAAATAAAAGTCTTCGGAAATCTTCTACTCCTCCGAGTCCTCCGTTAGGCGCTCCGAATGCGTCTCGGACTTCAATAAACTTCTGTGCACCTTCTTGAATACTCCAAGGAATGGCACTTCAAGTCTTCGTGTTTGTCGTTGTAGCACTTTGATCTTGACTTGAATAAATTGTGTTTGTCAATTATCAAAACCTGTGAGTCAACACTTAACAACACAGAAAGGGTTGAACTCATGCATTCCAACACATAGTAAATATCATTTTTGAAAACCGAAAGGCACTTATCTTTGACGTTAATAGAAAATCCTGCTTTGTCAAGACAGGACACAGAAATGATATTCCTGCTAATGGCAGGTACAAACAAGCAATTGTTTAAATGCAACAACAAGCCACTAGGGAGAGATAGATCATAAGTTCCTACAGCTAGAAGTACAGATGTGAGAACCACATCCGGTCTCCATCACCCAAGAGGTGAAATCAGACATATTGACTTCGATAACGTAAATATCTAAGTTTTTGGGCTGACCTTGGAATAGGTCTCTCAAGCGTTGTATCATAGGACACGCTTCCATGTCCGCGTGGAGCCTTTGGAGCTCTGCGGTCATACTTGCCATAATGATACACTTCACATCTCGCGCGTCGTCCTCATACTTCTTGAAAGAAGTGAGTTCGGACGCACGAGCATTTGCCTTAGGGGTCTTCGGAGGATCCGTTTCGAGGATGTAAAGTTTCCTCTCATAGTCAAGAACGATTCGGAGGTTCTTCTCCTAGTCAAGAAAGTTTTCCCCAGAGAGGTTTTGGCTCTCGAGGATATAACGCTGGTTGATGGATTGAATGTACGTGTTATTTGATGTCATCTATAGAATGAAATTGCAAACTAGGTTATCTATCATGTTGAATAATTAATTAGGCCTTTTAATTAATTATTTCCCACTATTTTAACAAACCAACAACCCTCAATGTTGATTCGGAGATTCTCCTAGAGATTCTCTTAATGGGCCACGATCCATATATCATTAAATTCTAGTTGACCTGGGGTTCGTACCTAGAATTTAACTATTTAGGTAGGAACATAGTTCCAACTATCGAGCCGCGCTCATAGTTCTTGGTCTTGTGTTAGGCAAACGACAATACTACTAACGGACCAGAACACCGTTTCATCGTACATGTGATTGGCTTTGGCACGTACCACATGCGCAACTACTTTAGTTAGGGCAAAGCCCAATTAAGTCATAGAGACCCAACTTCTGGCTGGATGAGTGAGTAAAGTAATTCGACTTGTCAGTATAGTGACCCCAAAAAAAACCGACTCAGTTAAGTCTAACCAACGACTGACAATGACCACTTTAGTGATTCCCGTGACCAGCATAACATACACCGTACTACGCTCTGCTAGGGCTGAGTACGTGACAGTGCACATTAGCCGGAAAGGTGCCGGGCGCCGGAAGGTAATACAGACCTAATATTTCAAGGGATTTTAAGTTTTACGATCTCACCTACGACACATGCCGCGCATGTTGTATTTACGTGCCCTAGAGGCAATCAAATACCTATGTAACTGTACACTTTATCATGAATGAAAGGCCTTGAAGTATGTTTTATATCTCGTGTAACATAACATAGCTTCAGTCCATAGACGATAACGCTTCAGTAACATAGATGAGGACTACGATGTTCTGATTATGAGACTGTTACTTCTTGACCAAGGCTATGTCTAGAATATCCCTAGTCGCACTTTATGATAATACGGACGTCATAACGTATCAAGACTAGTACGTACGAGATGAGATAGTTGCGTCTCATAGACTATAGGTATTGTGATATCTTAATATGTACGTAGGTGAATATTATATCGATAATATGTGACTGGATTGACCCATCTTGAGAATACTGCATGGATCTACAGTAATGTGTTTATCAGTATTCTCAAATCGACCTTGCTATAACTATCCTCAGACTTGAAGCTATTACATTCTCTGATATGTGGGGCCGTATGCTTTGATTCATAACTAATGCTATCTGAAATACTGGTAGACGTACAGTTATGCGTTGGGTATGCCGCTAAGCATATTTAGAGATGTGAATAACAGATACAGGATCTGTCCCTTCTACTGTATAGAAGTATAATCTCAATGGGCCCACTAAATAGTAGGACTTGGGAAAGTGCATGGCCATGCCCAGATATGTCGCTATCTAGAGACTGATAAATATCTGATCCCTGGCAGTCTACTTGAGATTCAGTAACAGCTGATTTAACTATACAAGGATACACATCCCATGCCTTGTGTTAAATCATGACATTTAGGACGGAAGGATAATAGTTATAGAATGTCTTGTGTCGTAGAAGGTATTGATGAGATGAACGTCTTTTTCATAATCTGGGGATAATAATGTGTTGCTAGATACCGCTTATTTCTATGGTATTAATTTTATTAATATCATTGCCTGTGTTATGGATACCTAAAGGGTCACACACTTAGGACTTGTAAGGGAGTAGTATACTACACTAGTGGGAGTAATATTAAATATATAGTTGTGATAATTTTATACATATATATGCATTTCGAAAATACATATGTATTTTAAAATTATATTTTGTTTGTGTCATTTTAATTATATGATAATTATATTTTGACAAAACAAATTTTATTATCTATATATATGTAGCGCCGAATGTGTGTGTATATATATATATTATTTTATTTTTCATCATTTTAATTATATGATAATTATTGATGTCAAAATAAAAATATGATATATTTCAAATATGAGATGACCGAAATTTCAAGAGGAAAAATCCAAGACCATTTTGATTTTATACATAAAGTATTTTTAATGTCAAATTGATATATTTGATTATTATTTGATGTAGGGATTCTATTTTGTTTGGTAGCTAAGATATTAAACATTTACACATGGTGTTAAGACATATGCATGTACTTATGCTTAACATTAATTTCCTAGCAATTTCCTAAATATACTTTATTATAAAATGAAGTCTTGATTTTTAATATACACACACAACTTTCGGCCATCCCAATTTTAGAGAGAAGAAAATTTTATTTTGTGTTCAAAGTTATTTTTCTAAAGTGTTAAAAATATACACAAAATATTATAAACAAATATTTATAAGATAAATATTTTACTGTATATTTATTACTCCCAAAGTAGTATTATTATAGTTTTAACTATCCTATATTAAACTTGCTAGCACAAGTTTAATCTTGGACTCCGGAGCAAGTTCGTGTGGATACGTTGGAGGCTTCATACGTTTGGCGCTACGTTCATCTCCTCAAAACCATCCCCGACCGTTCCTCCGTTCTTCGTTTTCACCGTTAAGGTAAATTTCTTACTATAGCTAGTAATTTACGTAAATTGTTCTTGGGTGGAATCGAGTTTTGGACTATAAATTTTTGTTTTCCGCTGCGTTATCCAAGCCTCGTTTCCCAACAGTGGTATCAGAGCCAGCTTACGAAGTTACTAGTTTAGTAGTTTTTACCGTTATTGTTTTTATATTATTCTTATTAAGTAGTTTGTGTGTAGAATACTTGTTATTTGTGTCATAAATACTTAATATTTATGAAAATTAGATTTTATATTTTCTGGGAAGTATTTGACATGTCAATATAACTCAGAAATTTTAAAATCGATTTTTTTTAATTAATTTCCTATTTTTCTATTTTTAAATTCGTTTATTGAATAGAAAATAGGAAAACTTATTTTTTAACGATCAAAAATTAATTCTAATTCATAATAAGTTGCGACCAGACTCTTTAAGCTTGTATAAAAATTTTCATAATTTTTAAACACGTAAAAGTATTTATTTTGTATTTTTGAAGTAATTGGATCGTTACTATTTACTAGTCCGATTTTTAATTATTTTAAATTGCAAAATTAATATTTTAAATTCTAGAAAAAATCATATTCTGGTTCTGGAACTCATTTTTGACTTGGAAAATAAATTTTGATATTTTTGGAATTTCGAAATATATTTTCACAATATAATTTCGGTTTTCTAGCTTTGAAAAATGGTTTTCAAAATTTTAAATTTTATTCATTCTGGAATTTTAGGATTTCCAGATTAATAAAGTTTACTGGGAGTCTCCAACAATTATTTGCTAATTTAGAAAACATATATATATATATTTAATTCAAAATAAAAGCCCTTTTTCGAATTTAAATATATATAAATACGGTAAATATAAAATATTTTATTTTATGGAATTTAGAAAATCAAATTTCTAACATTCTGGAAATTTAAAGTATTTTATTATTTTTAATTAAATTATTTTCTAGTTTAATTAATTTATTGTTGATAGTTTATTCCGTAGAATAGAATAAACTAGGTCTGGGGCGAGCGCGGTTTGCCCGGTGTATGCTTTAATATGTATGATGTGATGCATGTGATGCTTGTATGTATTATTGCATGGTGGAGTATTGTGGCTTAGTTATATTTGTTGTAATTTTAAATACGGCCTGCGTGTCGTGCCTCATCTCTATACTCTGGATGTAATTCTCTTCTTTACCTCAAATATTCTTCTCTCGAAAATTATAAGATAAGAAGACGAAGTCTGTTCGTGATAGAGAATCCTAAGGAAGACGTGATGGGCCGGAGATAGAGATATCTTGATCAAGGCGCTATCGTTTGTTTTTCTTTAGGAGCCACAATCATTTCACGTTTACTTATTATGCATGTGATGTATGATTGAATGTATGCATGTATGTAATTTTCGCTAGTGCATACGCGTGGTGTATGCCATAGGCAAGACTGCGTTATAAATCCCTCATAATTTTAAGTCTGTGCCACCCCGACGCCCCGTCACTCGTCAAACCCAATTTAGATCGGTAACGGACTCACCCAAGTGAGACGCCCGGTTTACGTTGGTTAGGCGCGAAACCCGTAACTAGGGTACTGACTCGCCCCGGGTTAGTCTTAACTAAGTCTTGGTCATAAGGATGAGAGACTTAGGGCACTGCGGTAGGATCAATAAATAAAATCAGATCATCCAACCAGAGTTGTAAATTGTTACAATTGGAATTTATTCCTACCAGAAATAGTTTAACTGTAGGGCAAGATGCAAAACACAACTATAGTTAAATGAAATATGGATCTGGCCCAATTAAGAATTTTATTTAAAAGAATCTACCAAACCAAGAGTTGTAATAACGATTGCAATTGGAATGAATTCCTACCTAAATAATTTAACTGTAGGGCAAGATGCAAAGCACAACTATAGTTAAATAAAATATGGATCTTGGCCCGCTAGGGTATTCTTCAAATAGAAACCCCAAGTCAATAGGTTCCGTACCTGAGGGTAGTTGACTTGTTAGAAATAGTCGGAGAGTATTTAATAAAGACCTATTAGATACTTAATTCATGATAATAACTATCTTCGCAAAATTCTGTAGTTGGCAAACAACAACACAAACAACCTCGCCCTGCGTTCCATTCTGGATAAAGATAAATTGAACGGAACAAACTTTGTTGACTGGCAACGCAATCTCTCCATTGTTCTCCGCATGGATGAGAAAGAGTATGTGCTCGAAAAGCCCATTCCTCCTGCCCCTCCCCCTAACGCCCCGAAAGCGGTCAAAGATGCCTACGAGAAACACGTTAAGGATGACAACCAGGTTAGCTGTGTCATGCTGGCTACCATGATAACCGAGCTGCAAAAACTGCACGAGGACATGAAGGCCCACGAGATGATCGTGGCCTTGCGGCAGCTATACCAGGGGCAATCTAGGCATGAACGTTTTCTCGTGAGTAAGGCTCTCTTTAGTTGCAAACTCCCTTCAGGGAACTGGGTCGGTCCGCACGTTCTCAAAATGATTGGTTACATAACCAATCTGGAGAAACTCGGGTTCTCCTTGCAGAAGGAGCTGGCAACGGACCTGATCCTGCAGTCGCTCCCTGAGCTGTATAAGGGTTTTGTCATGAACTACATGATGCATGATCTAGACAAACCCTTTCGGGAGCTTCTTAAAATGCTCCAGACTGCAGAGGAGAACCTTACTTAGGGCAAGGGTGCTTCCGTCCTTATGGTCCAAGGCGGAAAGGGGAAGCCGAATAAGGGGATTAAGATTAAGGCTAGGACGGTCGGAAAGCCTAAATCGAAGTCCACTTTATCTGCAACCCAGAAACCCATAGGAGAAGTTGCAAAGGGCAAATGTCATCACTGTGGTAAGGCAGGCCACTGGAGAAGAAACTGCAAGACATACCTTGCAACCAAGAAGAAGGAAGGTACGACCATTTCTTCTGAGGTGTATGTTATAGAAGTTAACATGTCTATATCTTCATCATGGGTACTAGATACTGGATGTGGGTCTCATATCTGTACTACCATGCAGGGACTGAAGTAGAGTAGACGGTTAGCTCGAGGCGAGATTGAACTCCGAGTCGGGAATGGTGCACCTGTTGCAGCTTTGGCAATCGGAACTTATAGTTTAGTCTTGCCTAGTGGTCTAATGTTGGAGTTAAATGATTGCTTGTACCTTCCTGCAATTAGCAGAAACATTTTTTCTTTTTCATGTCTTGATAAGAGTGGTTTCATCATTTCTATTAAAGACAAGTCCCTTTCCGTTTACAGAAAGAATGTTTTCTATGCTAATGCCAACATGACCAATGGGTTATATGTCCTTGACTTGGACATGCCTGTCTATAACATATCAGCCAAGAGGAACAAACCGAACGGTTTGAACCAAACATACCTATGGCATTGTAGGTTAGG